GTCCACCCATCTTAAAGTTCCCGAGGTTGAGAAACACTGATTGAGCAGCTACACTGGCAGAACATGCAAAGGATGATGAGGATGACGATGGTTTTCTCATTTCTTTCAAAGGCTTCGAGCAGCCCTACAGTTCCTCCATAGAGCGAAAACATAAACCTCCTTCATCCGAGGCATTTCTCGTTGGCTTTCTAAGCTAGACACCTAACCATGCCTTTCTCCCCTTCTCTCTCCCTCCAGATTGTCCACCCCGGTGTTTCCCAACCTGGGGCTCTCCGGCGGGTTGAAAAAATAACTCCCGCCATTCCTGCCCACAGCCAGACTCGGACTGGTTATGAATTGCTTTTCAACTGCAGCCTTTGCTTTTGCGTGCGCTCTGCTTGTCGATTAACCAGAATGTAGCTGTGGTGTCCAGGCAGTTCAGCAACTAAAGCTGATTTAAAAAGAGAACCGACATGGTAAGCAGAGGCGCTCACCTCTATGTACCAGAAGGAGCAATGAAACCAGTCCTGCAGTGTAATCTTCAGTGTAGAAGCTAAAAAGCGCCAGGTTCACCCTGGATTAGGAGAACATCAATGAACTCACAGCTTTAATGGGAATGTCAAAGTCATGGTTTACCCACTCTTTTAAATATGTCAGAAGGGTTCTTTTCGCTTATTTCTTTTTTAAGCACTTGCTGTGTGTTTCTATTTGAAAATGTATGTATTTTTGTGTTGGGTTCCCTTTTTTCCTTTTTCTGTTATTTTAAAATAAGTAAGTAAGCAAGTCAGAAGGGTTTTGCTAGACCAGGCCAGATTTCTGTTTTTAACAACACCAACCAGCCATATCCTTCTGGGAAGTCCCCATCTAGCTTGTTCCTACTTTAGGGGAAGGCTGCCTTTGAACCTGGAAGGTTGATTTAGTGCAGTGTTTCTCCAACCTGGCAACTTTAAGATGTGTGGATATTGCTGGCTGGGGAATTTTGGGAGTTGAAGTTCACACATCTTAGAGTTGCTAAGTTTGAGAAACACTGATTTAGTGGCAAGGCCCACCATCCCTGATAGACCTATTCTCTGAAACATCCTGCATCTTGTGATGTGGAATTCTTCAGGTTAACCCTTTATTCACTATATTAACAACACTTCCAGGTTCTCATCTTATCAAGCATTTTTTTCTATCCTCTGTTGGCTTGTTCAAAAACGTTCTCATTGTCCCCTTACTGCCATCGTGGCTTTTCCAACTGCGCCTACTTTCTTAAAACTCCATTTTAAAGCAATTTTCTCTCCCCTGGTCTCCCAATTTGTTTTGCAGATTTAAACCAGAGCCCTGTTGCCTCTGAAGGATCTGCAGGTACTTGCCGATTTGGAAAAGATGCTGGGAGACGGGGGTTTGGCAGACCCCAAGGCAGACCTTTATAAGGACCTCACCTTTCCGGCTAGCGATGATTCTCTCTTTTTCAATTGTTCTACTCCGTTGGCTCAGTTCAAAGGGGAGATTTATTGGCTGAGACCTCAGGTTTGTTTCTGAAAGTCACAATGGAAGATGGGTAAACTCCTAGCCCTTCTCTATCTAGATAATAGTCCAAAAGAACTTTCTATTTTCAGAAGGTAGAAATGAAACGCATGCCTGCTAGCAAAGATCTTCACCTATATAGCACAGAAATCTGCAGGGGAACTGTAAGTGCCTTGAACTGAACATATTGATAATCTTACTATGTACCAGAACTCAATCTTACTGGAATTTCCAGCTCAGGAAAGTCCTCAACCCCACGGTACACATGTACAAGCAACTTTCTCTCCATCTGGAATGCTGGCCTGATTTTTTGTTGTACCTATTTAATAGTTCAGCTATGTACACATCTTCACTTCTTGTCCAGCTTTTTTTTCTTTTTAAATAACACACACTAGATGACAAAAATACTCTGAGAATGCAGTCATGGGAAATAAATAAACTTATTTCATTTCTTTATTTATAAAATGTACAGACCGCTTCATTCGAAAAAGACTCTAAGTGTATGCAAGAGCAACATAGAAACCTACTATCTTCAGCCCCAGATTTTTCATCTTCTTGGACTCTCCTTTTCCTTTTTTTAGTAATGTTTTTTTTTAATTTTGATGTTTTATGTATTTATATATATTTAGGGTTTTAATGTTTTGTGTGAGTCGCCCAGAGTCCCCCATTGGGGGGAGATGGGCGGGGCAGAAATTTAATAAATAAAATTAAGTAAAATAAAAACAGTATAACAGCCACTATAGTATAATAATATAATAACAAGCCTTCCTTTGCACCAATAATAATCACCCGGAGTTGCTGGGAGACAGGCAGCATATAAATTTAATAAATAATAGTACTAATGATAATTATTATTATACACACAACATGAAATCACACCTACCAGTTCTTTAGCTGGTGTTGGCCTTCATTCGCATCAAATTCTTCCCAAGAACCAAGGATGTTGTAATGCATCGGTGTAGTCTGTGTGCGGATCCAAGCAGGGTGGCCTTTTGTGATTGACAGGTGGAAATGTTGTCAATGCGCAGATTTTCTAAGCGCCATCCAAGGTTTTTTGGCCTGGCAGTCATTGTGCCATAATCACTGGAACTACCACTGCTGGTTTTATGATGGTTGGTTGCATAGTCAGCCAGATGTTTAGACGGGATTTGGCATTTTTATCCACCTATTGAGTCCTTCCCAAGGAGCTGGGATGATGATGGTGATTTACTCAATCTCTGAAGGCCACTAAAACAGGCAGGTTTTCAGAAGTCTACAGAAGGCTGTGAGGGGGTAGAGCCACCCTTTGCTTAGGGCAGTGTTGTCCAAACTTGGCCACTTTAAGATGAGTGGACTTCAACTCCC